AAAGATTTCAATCTGGACAGCAATAAGTTAACATCGTTAACTGCTGGTATTTTTGATGGTCTCGAGACTAAAAGGATTCACTTGTCCTCGAATACGATCAAGAACGTTGACGATGACGCTTTCCGAGGGCTTGAGGATATGCTGGAATATCTGAACCTGGAGAATAACGATCTTTCCAGTGTTCCTGCAGCAGTTAGTCGATTGAAGAAGTTGTCGTACCTGTATCTTGCTAATAACGATATAAGGAACATATCTGGCGATGCATTTTATGAGTTTGCAGAGAATTTACGGGCGCTTTCGTTGGCTACGAATAGCTTGGATGCTGTACCAGTCGCGGCTGTAACCAGGTGCCTTGCTTCTTTAATTCGTGTCTGCACTTGACTGTTCGATGTTTAGAGTTCATCCTGTTTTGCGATTTGGTAGCAAGAATTGCTCAATATTGGAGAACTGAGAGATCGATATACAGTTGTAAATAATCTTTACGCTATTTAATATCCATATTTAATGGTACGATGTTTTACGAAATAGGTGCCAGAGGTTACTCCATCTTAATCTCGGCTACAACAAAATCTCTCATATTCAGCCGGGTGACTTCGAATGGGCAGAGGATCTTGAAATTCTCTTGCTTAGAAACAATATCTTGACGAAACTGAAAGACGAAACGTTCAAAGGAGCAAGTAAGCTTCAGTTTAGATCTCCTTCTGTCGCAACTATTTGGTTTATTACCATATATTATCATAAAATCATAGGATAAGTTGATAATACGATCTTAAATAATTTTGATCATGAGATTCAATGGTCAGTTTTCAATTTTACATTTAAATATATTTCCCATTTGTACTTGTTTTATTCTTCTATATAATATTTAGTCATTTTATATAACATTTTACAGCTTGTTTATTTTATGGTAATGCCGTACATAGAAAAAGATGAGTAAGGAGGAAATGCCAATCTCTCGATCACTTTCAGGGAAGCTGAAAGAGCTCAGTTTGTCTTTCAACCACTTAACGGAGCTCGACGACGATTGCTTCGTTGGTATCGAGGAGAGCCTCGACATTCTCGAGTTGAGCTTCGCTTTCGCGACCGACGTGTTCCCTCAACGGGCACTCAGGCCCCTTTCGAATTTACTGTGGCTCGTTTTGGATAACAACAACTTTCAGACAATCGAGGCGACCGCGTTTTATTCCTTCCAGCGATTACGCTACATCAACCTGGAATCGAATCGACTTCACTATCTGCCTGAACGAATATTTCTGTCCAGCGTCCATCCCGAGCTTCGAGATGTGAAGCTCGGTTACAATTTCCTCGAAGCCATTCCAGACTTCAGCTTTCACAATCTGACCGAATTGAGATCGCTGGATCTGACCGGGAATAGAATAAAGATTCTTAATTCCGATTCCATTATGGATTGCCCGGAATTGGTGACGCTATCATTGGCTTACAATCGGATCACTAAAATGGAGAAAAATGCATTTTACGGTCTGCCTAGCTTGCGTTTCCTTCATTTGGAGTTCAACAAATTGGTGATGCTAGATCTGGACGCGATCGCGGAAATCGGCGGGCCAGATTTTGCCCTCAACGTTTCATATAACGCGATTTCGACCATAAATTCTGGAAGCTTCACGAATAATTTGACGAGATTGGATTTGAGTTTCAATAATATCAGTCATTTGCCGGCGGACACGTTTTATGGAACACCGGAGTTGAAAAGTTTGGATCTGCAGAGTAATTTCATCGTTGTTCTTGAATCAGGTAAAACAATATTTTGCTATATCGTTATTATCCAGTTCCTTGACTGTAATGAAACATCGTTAATGCATCGTTGATTGGTCTTTTTGTTCTTTATTTGTAATATGATGCATCTTACCAATCAAAATTTCATTAACTTTTTATTAATAGCAAATTTTTCTAGGCACCTTTACGTTGAGACACTTGGAAACGCTAAATCTACGAAACAACAAGATAGAAAGCTTACGGAAACAATCTTTCCACGGTTTAGAATTACTGCAACAGTTAGATTTAAGTGGAAATCAGATCACTCAACTATCCACCGAGCAATTCCGTAATCTAAAGAATTTACGAATCCTGAATTTGTCTGGGAATAAAATAAGATCCCTACTAAGAGACGTTTTCGAAGGGACAAAATTGGAGATTCTTGACCTAAGTAAGAATAAATTCACCGTGGTACCGTCGCCATCTTTTCTCGAGGTTGGCTATACCTTACGGGATCTTAATTTAGCGGACAATTTTGTGGATCACCTAGACTCGACTGCTTTCCCAACTTCGCAATTGGTTTCTTTAAATTTGGCGCATAACAGGCTAACCATCCTGCCAGACAATTCGTTTGTTTCTTTGGGAAAACTTCTAAGCCTCAATGTATCTCAAAATATTCTTCAAGCGAATTTTAAGGAACTCTTTCATTACTTGCCTGGGTTAAGGCAGTTGTATTTGGCTAATTGCGGTCTTAGAGACATACCTCTTCTTCCACTGACGAATTTAAACGTCTTAGATCTGTCTTTTAATCATATACACTCGACGTCTGACAAGCAGTTCCAGTATTTGAAGGATTTGAAGATCCTGTGGTTGGTGAACGATTCGTTGACTTCTATGCCCAATGTGAAATTAAGTCTGTTGAGAGAACTTGATGTGTCTGGCAATCCAATAGAGGTGAGTTCTTTGATCGTATTTCTGTCGATTTATACAATATTTTCATTTTTGTTTAAAAGTTTTGAAGAATAGCAAGAGATAATATTTTAAACTTTGAAACTTATTTTCTATAGACAAATAAAATTTTGTCTACTGTCTTTATAACTAAATGAATGTGTTTTATGTGTTTAAAAAATTGTCAAAAAATATTCGCTAATAAAATTAAAAATTTAGGAACTGACGAAAGAGAGCTTCCTGGGTTACCCAAGATTGGAGAAACTGAATCTAAGAAACCTGAATAAAACCAGATCGGTGGACAAAGATTGCCTTCGCGTCTTAAAATATCTGAAACATCTTCGGATTCAAACGTGGCCTGAAGCGGATGGATTTCATCTCCGACATCTGTTAACTGGATTACCATTAAGAACCGTGGAGATTCAAGTAACAGAACATTTGCTGAAACATCAGATACAAAACGCTTTCACAAAGCAGCTCAGAGAATTGACTATTTCGGGAAGTGATCTCGAGGTAATTTCCTCAGAAGCGTTCTCTACTATTGAAGGTGGTGAATTGATATTAAGGATCAGGGATACTCGAGTCCGGAGACTGCAGTCCGATATGTTTCTTTCTTTGACGAAGAGACTCTCTCAATTGACGTTGGACTTGAGGAACAATCATATCAACGAACTTAGTCCTTCGGTTATTTATGGGAATCTTTCGTGGGAGAGCGTTGGCACCAATATGGTTGCTGGTACGTGAAGCAATTAAATTATTTAATATTTACGGCTTAAAAAATGCAGGCTGATCTTTGGTTTGCACAATACGTTCATACAAGTGTGTATTGTACTCGATACAAACAAATTTTGATTAATAAGTTTCTCTTTCTTGAAAATTACGCGACACATATGTAGTATATGCATATGTATATAATGAAGAAAATGTAATTAGAACTCTTATATTTAAAGAAAAAGAAAATACAACTGTGTCATTGTTTTTCAGGCGGTTTACAGGTATCTGGAAATCCTCTTGAATGCGATTGCGAGATCGCTTGGCTCAGCTTATGGTTACGAAGATGGCTACGAGAGTCTCGTCAGATCCATACAGCTTCTCAATCGGATGCTCGACAGCTGAGAACGATCGCTGGAAGAGCTGTCTGTACGGAAACCACGCCGTCATATTCGTCTGACAAAGTTCTATTAACTTTAGGGACCCCTCACACTGCCTGTCAAGCCTCTGCTCTTAGCTCTGGTAACTACGAAAGACTAGCTACCACTTGGCTGGCTATAGTGGATATCATTCTCCTAACGATAATCGCGCCTACTAAATCGTTTATTTTATATTAAAACGAAGAGGTTATTATGGTTTTACCATCTCCCACATATTTTATTTCAACATGTACATCATAAGGGAATCAAATATATTTAATTCTTATATTTAAATAAATATAGGAATTAAAATATAGTTTTTTTCATAGTGGTTTTTGAATAATTACAGAGGAGAAATTTATGAGTGGCAAAGTGTTAAATTTATATTTACAAAAATATGTAAATATGTTGTGTTAAATAATTTGATTTAATTTAACAGCGTTGATGTGACTTAAATATTAATGTAAGAAAAGTATGCGCACAAATGATGTTACCTTTACTAATGGTAAGTTTAATACTAGCTGTTTGTTTAACATGTTACTATTTATGTTTGAAAAATAAAGGATTTTTATAGTAAGACTGTATAGGTGGTTGTTACAAACTGATTTCATAATTTAATTTCAACTGCGAGATAACTAAGTATAATAACGACTTAAACTAAACTTGTTATTATTGATGGTATCAATATTTTGGATTAGTGGTTATAATTACAATGATTAAGGGTTAAACTTCGTGTTGCTACTTATTTATATCGTTGTTCTTATTGAGTTCGAAATGAAAATAGCAGGGATAAGCTTAAACCAAAGACAAAAGCCATACGAACAACAAATTATCTTCTTTTTATGTAAAGTTCTTCTTATGTAAAGTTACAAAATAAAACGAAATTACTAGTTAATAGTACGTACAATTTACTTTTTTTCGCCGTTACAAGCGAGATATGAATTCTTTTTTCGGAGAATCTCATTTCTTTTTATTTACAAAATGTATCTGTCACAGTAGTTGGACATAGTGCGCGGTTTATACACATGAGAAACGCATAGTTAGACAGAATCAATGGGAGATAGGAGGAGAATTTAAGGGAAAAAAGTAAAAGCTTTAAAGAGAGGGAAGAGGGGAAATTGGAGTAAGGAGAAGGAATAAAAATTCTCGAATAAAAAAAGATTTCTTGATAACAAAACTTCTCGTCGATTAACGATTATCGCGTTTCCGCTTTTTTTTCGACGAATTACGATCTTTTTTTTTTTAATTAACGTTACTATACTAATTAACGTCGTGTGAATGTTCTTCGCGTTTTACAGTATAATCGCGAGCCGCAGAAAAATATCCTTAAATAGATATTATCTTTGTTTCTTCCCATTATTTTTTTTTCTCTTTTTTTTTACACTGGTGGTGCCTGCGTGTGTTGTACGCATCCGTCAACGTTTTCAGGCCAATCGCAAACATTTTCATTGGGATTAAATACCAGATTTACCGGGCAGGGCATGTGATGCTTCCTTTCGCCCTCACACATATAGTACATAGTGCAGTCGTTCTTGTCAGGATGATAAGATATGTGGTTGTCTTCTTCATCACAGCTTACCTCATTCGCTGAAACGATTTTTCGAGAATTGGTCAGTTGATCAGTTCTATGAAATTAATCGAGCTCTATAAAATTGTGACAAGATAATAAATAATAAACACTTACGATCTTTGGTGGTGTACCTCCCATTCCTCAAATGAGATTCGTAAGGCCCATCGTATTCCAATTTCACTTTATAGTCTCGCAGCTCTTTCATCATAGCTTTGATTAATGGATACTTGCCAGCTCCGCAACTTCCTCTGAAGTCATCCATATCCACCGACCAGATCATTATACCTCCAAAGCCTTCTTCTTTGAGCCATTGCATCTAATGTAATAAACACAAATTGTGAGTTAATTATATTAATCGCAATACAAATTGACGCGCGTCTCTGATATTTTCGTCGACTTTCAAAAGAAATATTGACGTTAGCGTTTCTCTTACCTTATTTATAAGGCTTCTTTCGTCATCGAATCCAACCCACTGATCTTCTCTGTACGCGAAAGGAACTTGTTGCTCACTATCCCATACTAGCGTAGTGTTCTCTTCACTGAGGAAGGTACAAATCTATACATTCATTTAGTATTTCTGTTAATGCCACGTGTTGGACAAGAGGTTAGTATACGCTGATGTGTAATACCTCGTAAGACGAGAGGAATCCGGCTTCGTTGGTGAAATTGCCAGCTATTCCACCTCCTGAGGCTGGTGCTCCGATGTCGAATTTCTCTTTGTCCACTAATGTGAAGGATCTGCCATAAGTTGGCATACCGATCATTAATTTCTCCTTTGGAGCACCTTGTTTCACCCATTCCCTTGCACTGTAATCCTATAGTTTTTTCATATACATATGAGATATTGAAAGATGTACATTTTGTGGTGCTGATCATTCACAGTGCCGAGTTATAGGATTTAATTGAGTATTTAAAATAGTATTTTCTTACAGAATTAGAATATTCGTTAAGAAAGAACATTACTTGTCAATTACATGAAAGAGTGGAACCATACTTAATAAAAATGTAGGAGAAAGTAATTTTCAATACGTACCACTGTCAACTTTTTCTGGTAACTGGTAGCACTTTCCAAAGGATACAAAGGACTATTGTGACCGACTTGTCTCTCCCACTGGCCGTGAAAATCGTACGTCATCACGTTAATGAAGTCCAGATACTTAGATATTTCTGGTACATCGTAGCTGAAATTAACGAACTAGTTCAAAGGAAGATAATTTAGCTGCATTTCGAAGCCATACGCTCGATAGTAGCCACACGTTGTGAGATTGAAATTTGTTTTTGTTAAAGATAATTAATTAATTATTAAGGAAACTCAATAACTGCAATTTACCCTGCGGCAATAGCCTCAAAACTAGCTGGTACCGCGGCTGATAAGATTAATTTTGGTTGTCCAGAACTATTTGCTTCACCCTCGAATGCCAGTCGAAGTTCCTTCAAAAGATTCACATAGGCTGCTCGGTCGTCACTACCCCTAATGTAATAAATAAAAAGAAGAATATAAAACGAAGGAACGAGGGAACATCGAACGCGAAGAAATCATTTTTCGAAATTTACCGTGGATATTCCCAATCAACGTCTAGGCCATCAAATTTGTATTCTCTGAGAAATTCGATGGCTTCATAAACGAATTGATTCATACGGAAAGTATTACTGGTCAGTTCTTTGAACGGGGTTGACCCGAAAGCCCAACCACCGATCGCCAATAATATCTGAAAAATCATTAAGACGATCGATATATACCATGGTCTGCTTGATACGTATCAAAATACGTGTCAAACGTATCAATACCGATCAATATGTATGAAAAATAGGATCCAACCTTAATGTCAGGATTCTTATTTCGCAGAGCGATCAATCTTTCGTACATCTCCGTGTCCTTCTCGCTTTCTTCTGCAAGCAAGTAATTTTTCAAGGTTGCGAACGAATAGACTATATGCGTGCAGAGAGTTGGATCGATATCTTCCGGTACAAATTTTCCAGCTCCAGGTCTTCTGTGCGACCAATTTGTTAGGTAGCACATTGATTGGGCTGCCCTTTCTACGAACAATGATTAAATAATTTATAATGCGTTAACGCAAACCAAAAAATTCGAGGAGAAAAGTTTACCATTGGTAGGAGGATTAACGACGAGTTGCGTTGTCGATTTTTGAAGTTTCTTCGCCTTGTTGATAACATCCGAGACCAATATCTTGTAAGGTTCTGGCTTTTTCAAGATGCTTTCAGATATAGTGCTGGCCACGGCGCTCCAATCGACGTCCTTGGCACTTGGACCTCTTGATATTCCGAGCAATTCCTCCCTCATCGCTCCGATTAAGGGGTACTTGACATTTCCACCGCAAACTGTGCCGTTGAAGTCATCCATATCAACCGTCCACACCATGGCACCGCCGTAACCTTTGCTCTTCAGCCAGTCCATTTTGCCTCGAATAGATTTCTCGTCGTCGAAACCCACCCACTGCTCGTTCTGCACCAAGTATGGTACTTTCATCTCGTCGTCCCAGATATAAGCTGCACCGTTTTGTAACATCTCGCAGATCTATAGAAAATAGAAAAAAGGTGTACTTATCGTTTGTACGAAAGAAAAATTGCTCTTCTTTCTTCTACAAATTCTCATTTAAAAAAGTTAATCAAACTTCAAAACCATTCAAACATCTCTATACTGTGACTCATTAAACACATACTTGAATACTTACTCTGGAAAATTTTTGTAAACGCGTAGATATTGTATTAAACTTTTTGAAATGTTTTGTGTAACATATTCATAAAGAGTTTCTATAAGCGTTCAAATAGTTTCGCGAGCCACTGTATCTACATTTACATTTTTCCTTAAAACCACCGTTTTAACTATCCCTTTGAATCACACAACCCAGTAATCACCATTCCCACTTATTATTAGAATCAAACAGACAGCTAAATTGCTTACCCTTTAACTACCTTCAACCGGGAATAAAGCGATAATAAATTTCTAACCGCAAGAAACGGGGAAAGCATCTAATCGATCGATTATCTAAGGACCTCGCGAGTTAAAAAAAGTTTGATTTAAATTTACGATCCACGCAAGTTTCAATGAGTAAAATGGCACTTTGGGTGAAGCAAGAGTCACGTTCAGAAGCAAGAGATCGCAGGTACCTCGTAATAGGCAAGAAAGCCGGATTCCTTGGTGTATTCGCCAGCCTTGCCACCGCCACTGGCAGGTGCATGAACACGGAAATTGGAGACGTTCGAGAGAGTGAAAGATCGGCCATAGGTCGGCATGCCGATGATCAGTTTCTCTTTAGGGGCACCCAAACGGACCCACATGGAGGCCGCGTTATCCACACTAAGCTGTTTCTGCCATTCGGAATCTAACGAAGAAGCGTACAAAGGTGCGTTGTGACCCGTCTCTCGCTCCCATTTCCCGTGGAAATCGTATGCCATCAGGTTGATGAAGTCTAGGTAGCTAAGTAGATATAATGATTTTTATCAACCCATTGACAATGGAATTAATCGTCAAAACGACGAATTTTATATTTCTTCTTTTTACAATTGAAGATAGCTCCATTTTGCAATAATTTGTGTAACAATATAAAAACCTATGGTCTATAAGTTTTCTTGTTTTATTTTATTATCAGATTTTATATATTTATCCTTCTATTGAATGAAGCGTAAAGCTAAGAAATTTTAATTTCGTTACGTCGATTTACCTAGCAACTGCTGGTACATCGTATCCACTTTTCACATTGTCAGGACCAACCGGTACAGCAGCTGTTAAAAGAAGTCTCGGCATTTTCTTCTCCTGAGCTTCAGCTTCGAACGCTTCCCGAAGCTCTGTAGATGTAAATAAATGAAATAGTATAATTAGATAATTTGTGTGGAGTTTTACAATGTAGAAGTAGATTTTGTAAGTGGATTATCTGTGAGCATATAGCACGCGTAATGAGAATCCAATTAGCATTAATTCTGTATTTACCTTTCAACAGAAGAACGTAGTTCTTCTTGTCGTCTCCTCCTTTCGGATATTCCCAGTCGATGTCGAGGCCATCGAAATTTCGATCACGCAGATACGAAATGGCACTGTATATGAAGGTTTGCCTTGCGTACCTCGTCGAGGACATGTCTTTGAATTTCTGAGTGCCGAACGACCATCCACCTGATTAAAATTATAAACGATGACACTTTCATAAATCTTCATATGCAGAAATTTAAAAAAACACTATTCAATGTTTTGATCAATTTGTTAATAAATAAATAGGTATACATTTTCTTCCTGACATATTTGAATCCATCCATCTTCGAGGAAGATATATTCCCAAAGATACTCACCAATCGCAAGTAAAATTTTCAAAGAGGGACTAGCCTTCTTTAAATTCACGATTCGTTCGTATAGTCCAGTTTTTCCATCTTTCGTTTCGTCGTTCGACTCGAAGCTGGTCAGCTTGTTCTTCTTCAACCAACCGAAGGCGAATATGATGTGCGTACACAAGTCCGGTTGTATGTCTTCGGGTAAAAATTTCCCAATTTTCGTCCGGTATTGAGACCAGTTTGTATAGTAACATACAAGCTGTACAAATTAAAACTACATTACGACTCCTTCGTTGCTTTTCGTCTCTCATTTATTTCCTTGAGAAAGTAAATAACGAGGAAATAACAAGTGGATATTTCTGATATTACGAAGATCAAAACATAAGTTTTTACGTTAAAGAATTCGTAAAGAAGAAAATTATTATAAATTAAATTTTACTGTAAATTGTATCATAAATTACACCATATTTTGTACTATTTTTTTTTTCAAAGAATTCGTTTCTTGGAATACAAGTAACAAAGTTGCCGAAGCGTAAATGTAGGTTTTTTAAATTACTAATTACATGACACCGAGATAGTTAAATAGTTTCAGCAAATTGCACGAATCAGTACAGAATTCTTTATACCATTGTATATGTGACAATAATTATCATACCTACCTTGTAGTCCTCCGGTTTACCAGTCTGAATTTCATTCTTCTTGTTCTTATTATTGATACGATTTCGCGTGACCTTGAATCTGTTCACGCTTGCTGAGACTTCCTGATCGCTCGAGATCGATGGGGCGGCGGTTGCCGGTCTGCGAAATCTTTTTCTTGTACCTGTTTCACGCATTATTTTTATACTAACGCGTTGCAAATTGATTTTTCTTGTTGAAATAAAGAAATAGATAGGTAAGATATTGGCACTGCATGTTCAACTCTATTTGTTCTATTTACTTGATATTTATTCTGGAAATATTATAAAAATTATTCAAAAGAATTCATTATTGCAAAAGGCGAAGAACTTTCGAAACATCAATCACAAAGGCAATGAATAATACAATAAAGACAAAAAATAATCAACATAAAAAATATATTGATCATTAATACAAAGGTACATACTGTTAAATTAGTGTAAATTGCAAATTCTTGCAAATTTAGCGTAAAAAACGTATTTAACATAGATACATACGTTTATGCAAATGCTCTTAGAAGAGAAGTTACGTTTGCCCGAGAAAGTTTTTCGAAATATTAGTAGCAGTTTACATAACTTTGATCATTTGAGAATATGTGGGCCATTCTTATATAATGACTCATGTTTGTAATGAAGAAACGAAAATGGAGATTAGCGCCTTTCGCTCATTCTACATAGTGCTTTGCTTCCGCAACCTTGTCTTTTGAAAAATAAAAATGGTTGTAGAAATAATTTAAACCGAATGATGAAATATACGTTACATATGCTTTTACGATGAAATAATGTAAAATTGACGATTCGTTCAAACCGATATCACATATTTATACATTGACCAGAAAAATATTTGTCTATAGTTGAAATATATAGAATAGAAGTTTCACTTTTAGAACGTCCACTTTTAGAACGTTAAAGAATTTGAAAGAAATATTTCTTGAATGAAACTAAATATAAACTTAAAAATTTGTAGATTTTCAGGTATAGTGAATCGAACGATTGATCGTATGTACTCGAATTTCAAACAAAATTATCTTGACAGGGAAACGAATTAACAAGAATAGGAAGACTGAAATTATTGATCGAATTATTTATCGCACTTCTCTGGTCAAGTTGAATTAAAAATGTAAAATCTGAACAGGTCCAAAACTGAAGAAAAAGTCGGCACATAGCAGACTAAATTACGGCTACTTTTCGAGCACCATCCGTTAATTTATATACCGGTAACGCATTCATATCACATAATACATACGTAAGAGGTGGCTTGGCACGCGATTAATTTTTTAAGACGCTATGTTTGCAAAAATAAACTCTGAAAGCGAGTTAATGTCACAATTATTAAATGATAATTAACTGTTTCCTACGTAAGAAACGATATTTTACCATTTATCGATCCACAGGGATTTATCAATCGAAAACTCGCTGTACTAACTAAATTAAAAGTAAAATAAGCTATCAGTAAATGTAATGAGTAATTAATAATTATTTATCTCGAACTAATTTCCTGAAAAATTTACTTTCTTCGCTTGTATCGCTCTCTTAGCAAACCGTCGTCGATATGCAGTACCAATTACCCTGATATTTCGAAACGAGAGGAAACGAACTGGTATTACGTTAAGAGAGGAAAATAAGCGAAAGATTCATATCATTGGAAAGTTGGTAAGTGATTACCTTCTGCATTGTCGAGAGTTGCGAGAAGTACGATCAAGCAGACGAGCAGCAGCCAACAACAGGTCGTTCTGCTAGTCGACACCTGAAAAGAAAGTGAACGTGTTACTGATCCGTGGAACCTGTCGCTGCTATTACGCCTAAATGTTTGACCGGGAAACAAACGCGAAATATCGAAATATTTTCATGGATCTCGATCACCAGCAGCCGATTCAGTCCGCCTCGGAGAGGCCATTTTCTTCTTTGTGCTCGTTCGGGTCGATAAACTAACAAAAATGCGGTCACCGTTGAGGAAACGTTCAGATTTATACCGCGTGTTGCTCAAACCTATCAATCACCTAACTTAAACGTCGAATTTTTTCTTTTTTTAGAAAAACGTATTAGACAGGTGGAAGTTTAGCTCGTAGATGTTTAATTAGCTTCATGTAGCGAACAAGCGTTTGATCGTGGTAAGTTATTGTCGCATTATTATTCAGCAATGTGGACGACTTTCAACGAGTGGAAAATTATTCAGTGGTACATGCACGTGTACCATACGGTGGTACACGTACTTAATAGGAGAGAATTCTTAATGCAGGGAATATTATTCACTGTTATATTTAATGATGCAGAAATTGTTAAACATGCAATAAATAACACACTTTACGAAGTGATAAAAATGGTGCTGTTATTTTGAATAATGCAACTATATAATTTACATGTGATTTTAAAGAGAACTTCGTTGAGAAATACAAAGTTAAAAGTTAAAGTTTGATTAATCTTCGGAAGAATTGAAAACATAACTTTTCATTTCTTTTACGATTAAGCAGTCTCGTTCAATACGTAATACGTATACAAAGTTGTTTCGCAGTATTATGCAACTTTTGTCGAATAACTTCACACTGTACATTTTCACACTGTACACTGATGAATAACATCGCCATAGGATGAATAGTGAATATGTGAAGTGAAATGAGAGGTATAGTGAAAATGTATTTCGTTAAAAATTACAAATATTATGAAGGGAATACGGAGAAATAGCTGGCCGTTTGATTCGTGAAATTTTTCTGGCGAATTATTCTTACATTTGGAGAAAGAAATGCGGGCTTACGATGAGATATTAGTCACGACAAACACCATTACAAAAACCAGAGAAAGTTATTTGCGGTTTCCACGATCAATTACCAAGACCTACTGAATTGAAAATTGAGAATCGTAAACTTCCCTATTTAACCGAAATGGGGTATAATAGTCTGCGTGGGAAACGTGAAGCTGTTACATTCAAGAAAGGTTTTATGGAAAGTTTCGTTTCATTATAAACAATCGTAAAATTGTAATATCGTTTATTTGTTTAAACGTTTCCTGGCGCCGTGAACAATTTCTCCTATCGAGTTTCACAAGTCATTGATAATTATGTTATCCAGACACTGAATGCTTTCTGCAATAAGAAGGCTTTATTTTAGGAATTTCATTTATATTTAGCACGAATAAAGAGCAACTAAAGAATACCGTTAATACGCTATGTATATCATTTTCTAAAGGAATGGAAACAACTTAAGAAATTAATTATCTTTTCAAATTAACATTATCATAATAATAATAATCAAGTACAGTATTAACAATTAATTTTATAAAATATCCTATTATAATATTCCAAATGTTAAATCTTAAATAAGATCGTCTGAGTAAATCCCATTAAAAATTTCTACAGAATTTATGCTATTTATTAAAAAGTATGTCTGACCTTTCCCATTTCTAAAAAAATCGATCTTTTCTCGTTTCTTCTTATTCTCAGAACAGGACGCCCACTTGTGAATTTATCGTATATTTTATAAATTTTCAATCCCTTACTTAATCAACGTATCGCGATAAAAGAATATTGCGACATACTACGCGCTCTGAAATCTTGTGAAAGCGTTTCCAATTGTAATACTGCATCTAAGTAGAGTTCTGCTTCACAGAGCGTTCCAGAGTTGTTTCGAGATAAGAGAGGAACTGGTAACTGATTAAAAATCCGATTACATTCTCCGGCGAAGAGAACTTTTTCACAATATTTTCACTCTATTGTCATTTGCGTGGCAATTAGCCGAGTCTTTATTAGGTTTGCAATTATTCCACGTTATACATTTTATGTTCATTATTCGCGTAGCTTAGCTAATTAGCACAATGCGCGTAGATTAAAGAACACAACTAGAAACGGATGCTTTCAAAACCACTTTGTATGTACATTTGCAGACAAGTGCTTTTGTTTCCCTCTTATTTCCACTTTATTCCCGATGCAAGGATCGTAGACTAGTTCCATTGCGTAGAAAAATTTATATCTATTATTAAAAAACAAATAAATGGTTTTAACATCATATTCTTAACGAATAACCGAATGCCTCGACTTTGTATTTTATAGTAACGGAAATTCCTTTTTCACACGATCCATGTTACTTATGAGGATGACCTGCTACGAAAAAAATTACAGAAAACGAAGCTATTAAGAAAATGTTGCAGTCGGAAGCGGAGCAAAAGAGGCGATAGCCAAAATATTAATTACTCTAAATTACATCGAAATACATAGCGTAACTTCGGCGTGAAATTTTGTGGTATTTCTTTTTATTATAAAATCCTTTTTGTAGAATATACGAAGATCTTTGCGAGTGACTCCTTAGTCGCGTACATAAAAATTTGCACAATTATCCATAGTCTAGCAACAACAAAATATTTTCTTCGTCTATGTAACACTTTTGAACAGCGCTGTAACATTAATGCGAATATGTATTTTGTTTAGGTCGTAGTAGCGAGTTAATTAGCGAAGAAAAAGAAAAGAAAAGAGAAGAAAAAGGAGTCGGTTCGTCAGTGTCGCAGTTGGCTGACCAGCTAAGATCGACCATCCGTGAAAATTTCACTGGCGTTACAGATTTTCGAAAGCCAAGAGCCAACGTCGTATCGCTAACTGTCGCGAGGTAACGTTCGATCGTCGATTCTCCACGATCAGAGAAATCGATTCTCAAGATCGCCTATTAAGGGGAGAACGTAATTATTTCGTCGATTATACAGTTTGCCGATATCGGCCGCAGTACGCGCCATTCTCCCTTTTTCTTTTGTCTTCTTCGCCGCCGCTATTTTCTTCTCTTCCCTCATCGTGTTACATAAATCCTGTTATTTTACGAAATTTCGTAGCTTTATCGTGAAACATATTGAAACACAGCACATATTAAAGATTATCTTAACTCGTAGCCATTATGTCCCTACTTTTTCTTTTTTTAAGAGACTTTATGAACGCACAATATACATAAGCGATTATTATTTATTTTTAACATTTCACTATTTATCAAAGAAATATATTATCTATTACCATTCATCAACGCACATATTTTATTTGAAATTTCAATAAATTCAAGGAAAAAGTGCAATTTCTTTATTCTTTATCTTCTGCTTGCATCGACTTTTGGCATTTTTATATCTTACTCTTCTCTTCTGTATATATCTTAACCTTTCAACACCTTTCGTTTAATTAATCATTAAAAATAAATTCCATGTTTTAGTACGAACACGAATAATGTTTAAGTGATACGAACATCGCTCGTTGTACGATATTTTTCTCTTATATTTACTCACAGATCGTTAACAACATTATGTGAGTACAGTTGATATGTGACACCCCGTATATGATGGAGAAGCAAGGCACAAAACATTTCTGTACAATCTAAAGTGAAATCAGAGCGCACATGTTCAGATGCCGAATAAGTTGCCAATAAAGATTCAAAAGTAAATCCATTAAATTTTCGGTTAATCAAATTTTAACAGTAGAAACGACGCGACGCTCAGCCATAATGTAATAAGTGTGTCATATTTCTCGATACTGTTCGAACGTGACCGAGCACAAGTGAAACGACACGGAAATGAGCGAACAGCCCAGCGAATGTAATTAGCGAGGCGGGAAGGAAAGGGACGAGAGCCATAAAAAGCGATTTTTCTCTTCGATCAATTCGTTTGTCGATGCGTGAAAAATTGCGGTAGCCGCGTAAAGCCGCGTTCGTGAAGTCTCATTCTACTGTAGCCTCACATTCTACAGTAGCGTCTCATTCTACTTACGCCTGAAGAATAAACACTCTTTATAATAGAGTTTATTGTGTAGATATTTTTTATTACAAGTTATATTAGATTTTATATTATTAGGAAACGTTATTCTTCCTATAAATTTTACAAATCATTAATTATAATTTTGTGTAAAGAAGAAGATTTGAAATATCGTATTTAATATTTTCTAACAATTTCACATCAAATATTAGTTATGTCAAAATCAAATGACAAATTCAATTAAGCTCGTTTGAACCAATCGAAGTTAATAATTGGCACAAGAATTACTGTAAAAATTTTAGTCAATACAAATAATTTGAAATTTCTTCATCAGGATGCCTGTTATTTACTTCGCTTGAAGTATTACTATATTTTACTATATTTTATATGTCTAGTAGTATGTTTACTCGTATTTCAGACAAACAGCCTATTGCAAAGGAGATTGTTCATATATCCATCACATATACATTCTACATAAATATTATTTATTATATATAAATTTCTACTTTTGTTCGTTCTTATTGGTCAAGTCACTTGACTTTGAACAAGTTGAAATTTCCAACTAGCAGTTTCATATTAGTGAAATGGTTTCGAGATCCTTGAACTGGATACGGGGCACTCGCTGTCGAACGATTTGACTAATCTAAACGAGCCTTAAGGTTACTATACCTGGAAGTTAGAACCGACTAAAGCTAGTAGTCTAATGGGAAGAAAAAAACGTTTTCTTGTCGGGAGAAAAGTAGCATAAAGTACCGTGAGAGACCGCGTTTAACTTTCTTCTTCGCCATATTCCCCATTCTCAGTCGCGTTTACCCTTTTCACCTCCTTTCTCGCTCCCGTTTCGTTTCGTTCCGTTTCATGGAAACGCCGCCAACGATTACCCGCGAAACCGCGATGCGAAAAATAGCTACGTTGTCCAGTTTAACACTGTAATCATATATCTGGATGAATTATAGGCGAAGTTTTGTTTTTCTCCTTCTTCTGTTCGTTATTTCTTTATTTTAACGAAATGACGGATGAAATTCCTAACGAAAAGAG